CCTGCTTCAGCACGGGTTTCCCACAGGGTCACAGCCTCTCTCAGGCATCCCCCTGCTCCAGTGTGGGCTCCTCCAGGTGGAACTCTGCATCCCTGTGGCTCTCCACGTGCTGCAGGGGAACGAACCTCAGCTCCAGAGCCTGGAGCACCCCCTGCCCCTCCTTCTGCACTGCAGAGCTGTTCCTCTCCCATGTTCTCACTCGGCTCTTCTCTGGCCACAATTACACCTGCACTACAACTTTTTTCCCCCTTCAGTAAGTTATCCCCAAGGCATCACTACCTTCTCTGATGGGCTCGGCTCTGGACAGCAGCTGGTCCATCCTGGAGCTGGCTGGAATTGATCCTGCTGGACACGGGGGGAAGGTTCTTGTAGTTTCTCACAGAAGCCACCCCTGTAGCCCCAGTGCTACCAAAACCTGGCCACTGATACCTTGGAGTGTTGATGTTTTGATTTTTTTAATTTTTGTAGATCTTAGAAGTAGTTATGTAGTAAAAGTAGATTTTAGAGTAGCAGCAATATAACCCTTTACCCTTAACACACCAGCTCAAACCCTTGTTACTCATTCCCATATCAATTCCCTAAATTCTTTAGCATATTTAGTCTCTTTTTCAAGGCGGAACATCCTAACCCTGAGCAAGAAGATATAGACATAGACCCAACAACCTTCAGGCCTAGAGTTCTGGAAGGCCTCCAAGGACACTACGTGCTCTGAGGAAGACGAATATGAAGAAGAGAGGGTCCCAAAACACCCCCAGACCCAATTTCCAAGAGGCGTGGCGGGGGCAGAACCTGGGTGGTGGCAGGACGGGGATTGGGCGAAAATCATTATAAAACTGTGAACATCTCGATTTCGGGAGCGCGCTGGGGGTTATTCCAGAAAGCCTGGGGGCTCATTAAACCTTTGTATCCTTATCTTATCTCCTACCTAATTTGGCTGGGAGTCTTTTTTTCCTCACAGCCATTTAGGCAACACCACGCAAACCCAACACACCAACTAAAACCACTGGGGAGAAATAAGAAGGTTGTGGACACCCCTGTGCATCCTCATGTCACCGAGGCACGATGTGACACCAGGGGATGGGGCACACCACACACACACATACAGCTGCCCATCCCTGATCCCCATCCCTGATCCCCATTCCACCAAGCTCATATTACCCCACCCCTAACCATTTCCATCCTGCTGCAAACGCAGATGACTTCCACCACCCCAAATGGACGCAGCCACCCTGGGGAAGAAGATGAAGCTGAGTTGGTGCTGGTTTGCCACGGAGGAGACGCCCTCAGTGAGTGCCTGCACGTTGTGAAATACACACACAGTAGCTTCCAGGCTAACAGGTGTGGCAGGATTTGGTCCTGCAGAGATAGCTGAGGCAGATATTTAGTTGTGCCACCACAGGCTGTCGCCACAGGTCCTCCCACCACCCAAGAAACCAGGTTCTTCTCCTCCTGGACCACAACTGCTACGTGCCTGGGGGATGGGGAGGCCAAGGGTTGTCTCTGTAGGAAAGGAGGTAGGAGCAGTGGCCTTCCTGAAGTAAGCACAAGACTACTCCCAGCCAACCTGTGGTGCCTAAAGCCTCAGAGGTCCATGGACTGCCTCAAAGGGGTCTCCAAAAGCTAATTCAAAGCCGCAAAGGTCTCAAATCCACTATTTTCCCTAATAAATTTTCCTTAATCCATCCATGCTAGAGACACCAGCCCAATTTCTGGTCACTGTTGAGGTGCCTCTACATTGCAGAAGACAGACAATGACAATGCAGAATCCAGCAGGCCAAGAGCCACCTTGGCACTCCCCAAGGAAGACGTGAGAGAAACAAAACCTCCCTTTTCAGCACCAAAGTTGATGTTCTAACAATGCACAAAAGTTTTAAGAACGTGCATTGCTGTTCCCATTTCATCCTGAACTGAGCAGGAGACTTATTTCATCTTAGGATCACCAGCAAGAAGTCTGTGTTGTAAATGAATGTATATAAATATACGCATACATATGTATACAAATAAATGAAAATAAAATAGCCAGGGTCTCAAACAAACAGAAAATTATTGGCTAGCTACAGTAGCCCTTCATTTCAGATGACTCAGTAATCTGTTAATTATACTCAGGTAGCAGAACTGCCCCTTCTTTGAGGAGTTTCACAACAACATCCCAAGGCATTTATGGAGATTATTTGTACAGAAGCCTCAACACCTCCAAGATTTTCCCTATCCTTTCCCCAGACAGATGGAGACCAGGAGCTACCCCAAACAGGGCATCAAACTGTTAACTCTGAAACTTAACAACAGTGCAACATAAATGTCTTTTAACACTTCTGCCAAACTGAAGAACAATGAAATCCCTAACAATATTTAATGGCTCCATCAAAATAAGACAGGAAGAATGTTAAATGTGTCCCAAACAGCTGCTGAAAAAGCTCATCTGCTGCCCCAGCTTCCATAGAAACCGCAAGGTCTTGCTATACTTTCAGCTATAGCTCCTCACAAATACACAGGACCCCAAAGACTCACTCGAGTAGCAAGAACACGAAATTAAATACTGTCCAGGAGGGTTTTCTTGCTGTTTTGCACAGACCTGCAGGCAAAAACTCAACCAGTGATAACTACCACAATTTCACTCCGTTGCTGCCAAGCAGCAGCAAGGATGGCTGCAAGAGGAAATGGGAGAGAAGCACACAAAATGATAAAGCAGAGGAGAGTCAACACAGCAAAATTTGTCCTCACCAGCAGACCACAGCAGAGCAAACTAAATGGAGCAGTTCACCCCAAAGTGAGGGCGCTCCAAGAGACAGAAAATGGTTTTATTCTCATGAAAGATCAAGTGCTTAAGGAGAGACTTTTGGAGACAAAGCTCAGCACCTCGTCATCTTCCCTTCCACATTTTGGGTCAAGGACTAACAGCTATCAAGTATGCTTTCATGCTTTGCATACTATTATTCAGGGCTCTCAGGAACCCTTCATAGACCACTCCCATCCCATTTGTGGATGAGGTCAACTCAGCTACAGGAATGAACATGTCAAACCCAGCCAAGCCACTCAGGTAGCTCCCTCCTCTCCCAAATCCCATGGCAAAGGCAGTCCATCTCCACAAGCATTTTCTAGAGTCTCCCATCAGCTGGAGAGCTCCTGGGTGATGAGCTTTACCCTCCAGCCCACCTGAGGCAAGTCCCTTCCTCGCATCACCTTCACCTGCAGCATCCAACTGCTGCTCCTCTGCCTTTAAAAGCAACGTGAGATCTTATAAATGATGAAAAGAAATGCGCAGCCTGAGCTTCCCAAAACAGACACTGCCTGTCTCTCTGCCAAAGATAACACACTTAACGCAGGGGAAACCACAGCCTACAAATCTTACCCAAGGCTTCAGGGAATAAAATGCAGCGCAAGGTTTTGCTCTTGGACCTCAGGTTCAGCAACGGTAGAGCAAAGCCTTTATGGTCCTCACGGGGAAAAATAATGCGGATGCACGACATAAAATGGCTTTTCCCACTCACTGGAGACAAAGTGTGAATATTTGCTTGTCAGGGTCACATAAGCCATAAGCAGAGCAGAATGCTTCCCTCTCCATCCCATGCGGCACCCTCCTGTCAGCAACTGGATGCTCAAAGATGCCCCACCGTCAAAAAGCCTTCCTAGATTTTGGAGAGGAGGGACTGTTAAACCACCTGGTCTTATTTTGGCATCTTTGCACTGAAAGAAACAACCTGGAAGCTCAGTGTATCCTCTGCCTCCTTCCACCTCTTTCATTTCTGTTAACAAGGCCATGATTTCAAGCTTCATCCCATAACCCGCCTGAGTGGTGGAGAAAGAGCAGCGTGGGCTACTGGAGCAGGGATGAAGGTGGCACATATGGACACGTGGAAATGGCCTATTTGAGAGAAGCAAACAGGTCCTATGGCACTCCAGTCCTCATCACGCTGGGAAACAGCACCTGCCCCTTCCCAAACTGATGGCATTGCTGCCTCATCCCATGTGGGGGTCTCACTGGTGGGGGTCTCACCCCTTCCAGCTGAGCCTGACACAAGGAACAGCCCCAGGGGATGAGAACCTTAGTCTCATTCTGTAGAAAAACAACTCCAAGGGCTGAGATTTAAGGCACTGAGACTCCAGTGGCACCCAGCAACTGTGCCTCCAGCCCTTCAGCATTGCTGGGGGCAGCTGCAGCAAGAAGCATCCCAGGACCGCCGGCTGCCCTGCTGCCACAGCATCTGTTGTCCCCTACTGTCACCCACGGCCCCCGAGGCCACGTGCAGCCAGAGTGACTCTGCAGGAAAAACGATAACCACAAAATAACAACAAAACCGGGTCCCCGGCGAGCCCTCGCCCGCTGCACCCAGGCTCAGCCCTGCGCCAAGGGCGGGCAAAGCACCTCCCGGAGGTGGGAGACTGCTCCCAGCCCCGGACCACCCCGCAGCGGGCATCCCCCCGGTGATGTCCCCCCCCCCCTCCCCGCGAAGATGCTCAGGTGGTACCTTTGTGCCTGCGGATGCCGCTGTGCGGGATCCACCGCCGGCTCTGCCGCGGCGGGGACCGCGACGGGCGACGCTTCGCTCGCGATGGGGACGCGATGGGGTCCCTCTCTTTTTGTCCGCGGGGGGCTCGCTGCGGCGGGAGCGGGGAGGCCAGTCATGCCCTTCGCCCAGCCTAACGGAGCGCCCGGGAAGCTTCCAGAGGCCGGGAGCACAGCCGAGCCCAGCCCCGGCGCTGCCGCTGGAAGGGGGCACATCCCGGGGGGGGTTCCACGGTCGCGCACGGGCTGTCACCGAGCGGCGGGGACCCCCTCCCCCTTCCCCCACCTCGGGACGAGGCCGCCCGGGCACCGCCAGCACCGAGACCTGCTCCATCCGCAGCGCGACCCCCCTTTCCCGCGGGGTTCGGGTCTTTCCAAGGGAGACAAAAGCCGGGATGCGCTCTCTCCCCCACCATGTCCCCCCACCCCCCGCCGCCCCAACCTTACTCCCCCCCTCGGCGCTGCTGTGTCACGTCCCCCCCCGGTCCGGGCTTACCGTGCGGGGCCGGGCGCGGTCAGTGCCCCGACGGGGCGGTCATGGGCGCCGCGCCGGGGTGCGGGGGGACGCGGTGGGGGACGGCGGGGGCACCGCCCGGGAGGACGCACCAGCTCCGGCTCCGGGCTCGGCGGAGGGACGGGCCGGGGCGGCGGGGAGTGACGCGCCGAGCCCCGCCCGCCGCCGGCCCTGCCGGGAGATGTAGTGCGGGACCGGCCCGGCCTGCCCGCCCCGCGGGGCTCGCACCGCCATCCCTGCAAGCATTAGGGGGGCCTGAGGGGGACCCCTCGCATCCCGCACCCCGGGCTCTGACGGGGATCCCCGGGGTCGCGCACCACGGAGGTCTGACGGGGGCACGGTGGGTTCCGCAGCGCGGGGGATCTGGCAAGGACACCCCCCCCCCCCCGCATCCCGCCCGCTGGGCTCTGAGAAGGACCCCCCATAGGATCCCACACCCCCGCGGCATCTGGGAGGGGCGCCCCGAATCCCGCACCCCCGTGGGCGGAGAGGGAGGGCACCGCATCTCTGCACGCACGGCAGTCTGAGAGGGACTCCCCTCATCTCCGCATCCCCCGCATCCCGCGCCCTGAGGATCAGAGACAGACTCCCCGAATCTTGCACCCCGGCGCTCTGACAAGGACTCCCCGGATCCCACACCCTGAGGATGTGACGGGGACACCCCAGGTCCCTACACCCCGGCACCCCCAATCACCGAGCCCCCACACTGTCAGTGCGGGTGGGAGACCACCTAGAGCTTAGAGCAGCGTTTGGGGTGGTACTAACCCATCCAATACACAGCACCCAGGGACAACACTGGGATTCTCATGTCCCCAACCTGTATCGGTGGGGATTCAGCTCAGAGCTGCATCCTCTCCCATCCCAACTCCTCACAGCCAAGCAGTGTCCGGCTGGGCTTTTAGGAAGGGAGTCTGAACTGGGCTTAAAATAAAGAAACTGCAAGTGTTTCATTGAATCACTGAATGGTTGGTTTGCAAGGGACCTTAAGGGCCGTTTTGATCCACCTCCCTGCCATGGGCAAGGACACCTCCCACTATCCCAGGTTGCTCCAAGCCCTGTCCAACCTGGCCTTGGACACTTCCAGGGATGGGGCAGCCACAGCTTCTCTGGGCAACCTGTGCCAGGGCCTCCCCACCCTCACAGATAGGAATTCCTTCCTAATATCCAATCTAATCCTGCTGTTTGCCAGTTTTCCCTCTTGTCCTCCAGGCCCTTGTCCCTCCAGCTCTCCTGGAGCCCCTTTAGGCCCTGCAAGGGGCTCTCAGGTCTCCCTGGAGCCTTCTCTTCTCCAGGTGAACCCCCCCAGCTCTCCCAGCCTGGCTCCAGAGCAGAGGGGCTCCAGCCCTGGCAGCATCTCCGTGGCCTCCTCTGGACTCTCTCCAGCAGCTCCATGTCCTCCCTGTGCTGTTGTTCCCAGGGCTGGAGGCAGCTCTGCAGGGGGGGTCTCACCTGAGGGGGCAGAGGGGCAGAAGCCCCCCCTCCCCTGCTGCCCACGCTGTGGGATCAGCCCAGGGCATGGGGGTTTCTGGGTCCCAGCACACACGTCCTGGGCACATAGAGCTTCTCAGCCACCAGCATCACCAAGTCCTTCTCCCCAGGGCTGCTCTCAATCCGTTCTCCACCCAATCTGTAATTTATGATTAGAGTTATTATGACCCACGTGCAGGACCTTATTTTTGGCCTTGTTCAATTTCATGAGGTTTGCACGGGCCCACCTCTCAGGCTTCCCAAGGTCCCTGTGGATGGCAGATAAACCAAGTTTTTCTATAAAAACACAGAAAATTCTGAGACAAGAAATGTAAACTCCAGAGTTTGCACACATTTTAAACACACCTCTAGCCAGCTGGATCCCTTTCAGCCCCTTCGGACCTGCTCAAAACCACCAAGAAATGTTCCTACAGGCAATTTAAACCACGTTCTTCTTACCACATTGGGTTCCCCCCCCCCCAAAAAAAAAACAAACAACACCCCCCCAGCAATCATTCCCATTTTCCTGTTGTATGGGTTGTATTCAAGAGGTTAACTTAATTTCAAACCGCGGATCCTTTGTTGCTCCCTGTCTAGCTGTGCCGTCACACTCATCCGGATAAATGGATCGCGTTAATGAACATCAACGGAAGGACCGCAGCCATAAATTCACCAGAATCGTTGGGCCTCTGAAGAAACCTTAATTCTACTTTGACAGCAAAAATCGGATTCCAAAGATCCCTCTCCCCGCTGTGCTTTATTTTGGGCCGTATCGGTTTTTTTGCTGGGCAGGTTGTCATGGCAACCTGATATTCACCAGAGGGTGGCTGTAATTGGGAGAGCACATTGTTAATTTAGCTCCAGGTTTTGGGTTTTTTTATTATTATTATTTTATTATTGTTTTTGTTGTATTTTAAGCAAAGGGGGAACTGCCTGGGTTTTCATATTTTTATCTGTGATCATACTGTGGTTTAATTATTAATCTGAGTGCCAACAGCATCACTCCAGTGACGGTTGAGCTGCCGTGCAGAGCTCTTGGGGGCAGACAACAGCTCTGCCCACATCCCTTTTTTCTCAGCTCATCTCCTCACACAGCTTCCCCACATACCCTCCAGCCCCCAGGCCCCTAATCCAAGAGCCCCCAGGCTTTCACAGGGATGTTCCTGGTGCATGGGGGCCGGGTTGGGGGGGAGGGGAAAGAAAGAGTAGGATCCGCTCTTGCATTAATGATCATTTTTTTGGAATTCCAGTGTGACTGGAACTGTCAGCTGTAACCTGACAACAATTCATCTGAGATAGTTATTTAGAGCAACTCACCCTCCTTGGAGAACACCAGCTCCTAATATTAATGGTGTGAACAGGATGGCATATGTAAATCCTCCTCCTGACCCCCCCGTGGTGGGACCTCTCTGTGCGTTCCGCTCCTGCCCCAACATGCTCAAGGCATCCTTGGCGTGGAGACATCACAGGATTCCACCAGGCACTCACCTGCATCCTGTTTGGAAGCAGGAGGGTGGCAGGACCGGGGGCTCTGGCTCACCCAGATGGATGCTGGGCCGGGGCACACAACTTCCAGCCTGAGATTTTTGGGGAACAACCCGTCCTGCAGAGCACAGTGTTTGTGGGAGTGTGGGAGGGAGTCAGATTCATTCCTCTAGCGGGTCTGGGGGAATTTGGACAAGGATAGCAGCAGGGTGACTAAAGGTAAGCCCAGAGATGAGTGCTGGGCTGCATCATTCCAGGACTTGGGAAAAGGCTCCATCTCTGTCACCTGACCCCAGCGCTCCCACCCTCGTGTGGGTTTGAAGCTCCACGGCCACGCTGGTCTTGGTGTTCATTATTAACGTGTCCCAACAGGAAGAAAGGGCAGCTTTCCGGCAACTGGGGATTTTTCTCCAGGAGCTGGCACAGCTCCAGGTCCAAAGAGCAAAGCAGAGCTGCTGGTCCCATCCCCAGGCAGGTGTAACCCTGCTCCCCTCCGCTTGGTCCCTCAGCCTCCTCCTTTCATCCCTCCTTCTGGCTTAATCCCTTCACGGCTTAGAGAGGAGGGAAGTTGGGAAAGGAGAGGATTTCTGCTTAACAGAAAAGAAAAAAAAAAAAAAAAAGAAAAGAAAAAAAGAGATGAGTCGTAAGAGCCGGGGATGGAGGAGGGAACAGAAACATCCTTCTTTCAAGGAAAAGATGCTGTGGCTGCTGTTCTGGGTACCATATGCCAGGTAATAACACGAGATGACTCAGTGTTTGGGAAATTAAATTGGCTCTTTATTAAAAGCCTGTATTTAGGGAGGTAGTGAGGTGTCAGGGGAGTTCCTGCATTGCCTTAGCAGAGGGAATTCAGGCAGGCTGTCTGGCTCCTTATTCTGCCAGGCACGGAGTCCACAAGGTGCTGGGACACATGTCCTGCCTCAGCATCCTCCCAGAGCTGCTCCCGGGGACGCACCGAGCATCTTTGGGAAGATCTCAGGAGCTCTTCCTAAGCTCTCTCCTACGTAATTCAGTGGAAACTGGTGGATCTCTGCCAGTGGGAAATGCTCCAACCTCAAGATTTCTGTCCCGGGAAAATAGCAAGAGGCGGAAAGAGCAGCCAGGGACACGAAGTTATTTGAGAGCACAAACTGCAACCCAAAACACGCTGTGCCAAAGCCTGGCCTTGCCACAGCAATACCCTTCAAAATGCCTTAGCAATGATGGGAATCTGCTGATTCGAAGGGGGAAACACAGAATATTTACAGAGAATATTTACAAAGTACCTTGCTCATAGCTGTGGTGTGCTGGTAGCTTGGCATTCCCTCTCCAGCTTGGAGCAAATCTCGGCTTCAGAGAGTGTAGCTGAAGGCAAAATCCAACGTACTGTGCTCTGCTCAAATTATACATCCCCTGCCTGGAAACCTCAGCTATACATACAGATAGGTGCTTAAAAAAATAAACTCAGGAAGGTGAGAATTCTTTTCTTCTTCCCCAGGTCCTTCTGGCACAGGTGGGTGGGATGACGGGATGGAGACACAGTGGTGCCCTCAGTGGGTTTCTAAGAAGTGACCATGGCCATTAAGCAGCTTAGATGCTCCCTCAGAGACTTCTGCAGGAAAACAAACTCTTAAAATAGTTGGGTCAACAATCCTCCCACCAGAATCAGAGTGATCATTATTTTGATCGGGCTGCAGTTGAATTGAAAGCAAATAGACCTGCTTTAAAAACATAAAGAATAGACTTACTGTAGGAGAGAAGGACTGGAAACAGACAAGATCTTTATTCCCACCCTGACACAGTCTGAGTGAGCGGCTCTAACCTCCTTCCTGAGTGTGGAGGTGCCTGTCTGTGCCTGGGGGTCCAGTGGTGGTGGATGTGGGGTTCCAGCAGCCTCTCCTCCATCCAAATCCAGCAGTCCCTCCTCCATTCAAATCTCATCTTAAGAGAGAAACTGAGGTGATGGCGTGCCAGTGTGGCCAGCCAGGAGGTTCGTGGCAAAAGAGATAGCACCAAGCTGTTGATATTCTCTCATATCTACACATACATATTTATATATATTATAAAAATCAAATATCAGAGTGGGGTACCCATGGGTGAAGCAGTGCTGGGCTCTGGCAA